CCCCAAAACCCCAAAACCCCAAAACCCCAAAACCCCTTGCAGCTTATTTCGAGTTGAAACGTAATAGATGGGACTTAATATCTAGTTATTATTATTTTGAGTCAAACCAATCCTCCTGGAGACAGCTCCGATGGTCCATGGTCGAAGCTAACTTTCGATGACTGTAATTGTCCTCACTCTCTTTAGTAAGTTGGGAGAGGTTAGAGCTTTGGATGAAGTAATCCCGAAAAGAATTGAAGCTAATCTCTTTTCTTTCAGAGTACTTTAAGTCTGTGTCTTTAGACTCTTCCCGCTCAGATTGTCGTAATGAAAGAGAAGTATCAACTTCTTTCATCAGCAGAGATGCTCTTTTACTATCTCCTCCATCTCCTTTCCGATTGATATAACTTTGGATGTTTGAGATTGTGATTCTTCCCTCATTTTCAGTATCCAGGTTTCTGAAGGCTACAGTGTTATTCAAGGAATTTACCCAGATAAAGGTCTTCATCAGTGATTCCATCCTTAGCTTTCATCATATTTGCCAAAAAATCAGAGTATTTTATCTGAATATCCCGATCCTGTTTATACATTTTCTTCAGTTTGGAATTTTTGGGGATTTTATATCCAAAATTTACGAACATTTTAAGAAGGTCTTTGACTCTAATTCGGCCAGTATTATCTCTAAATCTAAGAATTGGACACTCACGCATCAATAGCTTCAAAAATTTCGTTCCATTTAGACTTATTCTCTTGGTTGATAGTATCAGACAGCAGCAGGAAGATCTCCTTCTTCAGCCCAGAAGGATTGCTGTAGAAGTTTACTAGCATTTCTAGAAGAATTAGCAAGATTTGAAGAATGAGCTTACTATATCAAGATTTGTCGATTTTTATGTTTTTATCCTCACTTTGGAGGATCCAAGGGTGATTTAGAGCATCCTTAGGAGTCATCCTTTCGTCTGGTGTGTACCATAATCATTGCTGGATGAAGTTTAAAGACCATTCAGACTTAGTGCTCCAGAATTTCAGGTCGTACTGGATCCCATCTGTCAGTATAACCTTATAAATTTCAGTTGCTTTATTGGTTTGAAATGGAGGGAATCCAGTCAGCAAGATAAATGTAAGAATCCCTATACTCCACATATCGCATTCTTTTCCATAAGATCCTTTAAGAACTTCTGGGCTAATATAATAGGGAGTCCCAACTCTGGTATGAAGTTGTTCTTTCTTTGAATAAAATTTGGAAAATCCAAAATCAACGATTTTTATTTGCATTGTTTCAGGATCGATCATTATATTTTCCAGTTTTATATCTCTATGACACAGGTTCAAAGTGTTCATATGTCTGATCGCTTTTAAGACTTGCTTGATAATCTTAGAAGCAGTGTTCTCAGACATATCCTTCAATGATCAGAGATACTCCAGAAGATCAGTTCCTTTGACCAGCTCCATGACAATGAATATCTTCTCGTCATTTTTAAAAATTTCAAATATTTTCACTATATTTGGATGATCAACTCTATTTAAGTGATACTATCTCTTGTTTGAGTAAGTTGAGTCTTCCCTCCATGTATTTCAAACTTATAGTTTTTATTGCAACTTCCTTTCCAGGACAGATCAGAGATGAGCCAGCTGATACAACTCCGTATTTCCCACATCCTACTTTATTTACCAAACTTGTAATATTTATGGATGTCCTCAGTCGAGATTTTGGTATCCGCTAGGTCTTCCTCCAGGAAACTGTACAGAACTATAATGTAGAGTTAGTCTGAGGTCCAACGGATTTGAAGAGATTCCGGCTCATTCATTGTTCAAGTAACATTATAGCAAAACTATTTCTTCCATGTAGTTTTGAATATTCCACTATTCATTCATAAAAATTTAAGTAATTTCAGCCGAGATTGCGATGTAAAGGCGAATTCTGGAAGGTAAGCCCCTTCTTATGCGGACATGTCTCAGAATTGTTATAATTAATTTAGCTATGAAAGTTCCTAGAAATATCTAAATTCATGAAAATAAGAGGATTAACATGAATAGGGGCAAACATTTGTTAACCTTGCTTACCTTCAGACTCTTTTTTACTTAGAGAAGGCTTGGTATACTCTATTGTCCGCCTCCTTCCTGGTGATTGTGCTCATCAACAGCTGACTGATTTTCCCATATTTGTTTTATTCAATTAATTTTAGGTGAGGAGGGGTTTTGGGGTTTTGGGGTTTTGGGGTTTTGGGG